TTCCAATGCTTGGCATGATTGATGCTCAATCATGGGCACCCTTAGTCATACCTGAGAATTCCCCATACGCCAAACTTATAATTTTGTATTTTATCATAATAAATGTTTGAAACTACTTTGTGTTTGGTTGTCATTATAAACTGTAAATCGTGATATTAATGTGTCTCCAAAAGAATGCGACTGCTGACCCCTAGCCAAAAATGCGACTCAATATAAATGCGACACCCCTCTCCTCTTACTTACTTACTTACTTAAATTAGGAATTTAACGTGCGTTTTCTGACATATGCGTATTTCGCGCCAGGCCAGTGTTTGGTCGAAAAGCGTATGTCAGAAAAGGTGAGGCAACCTCGGTGGGGCTTTTTAGGGTTGCTTACTTAATTTGGAGAACAAATTTTGAATTTTGAAATATGCCATGCAAAAGGTGGAGGGGGGAGTGGAGGGACTAAAAGGAGTTTGTGTGTTTTTATAGGTTTAGAATTTTAGGGTTTATTGGCAGCTTGTTTGTTGTACTTTTATTTTTAAATGCGGCCAAGTAGGCCTGTTTTGAGTAGATATATGCCTAGTGCTTTAAAGGTTTGTAAGTCATTTAGGGGGTTTAGTACCGTTGCTAGTGTCATTTGATTGTTGCAATTTAGTGTGGATTTGAGTGTTCTGTGTTGCTGGTAATGTGTGCAGTATAGTATTACATGTTCAGGCATTTCTTTTAAGTTGCAGTGGGGGCATTTACTGGTTTGGTGTTTTTTAATTTGGCGTAGGTGGGAGTTTTTCTTAGTGTGGCCTGTTTGTAGTTTAGTTATTACTCTGTCAATTTTTTTGGTTTTATGATGTATTTTTGTTTTTTTGAGTGGCTTTTGTAGCAGGTTTTAGTTTGCAATCAGATTTCAGATAGTTATTTTGCCACTTTTGGAAGATTTTCTCCTTTGTGATACTTTTAATTTCGTTTTTTGATATTGGTAGGTTGATGCTTACTTCTAATTTTAGTGCTGATTTGTCTGCGTGTTCGTTGCCAAACACTCCAACGTGGGCAGGGTACCAAACTATTTCTATGTCTTTACCTAGTTTACGTAGATTGTTGGTGCTTTTAATTATCTGTTGTATTAGTTTTGGGCACTTTTTTGTGTTTTTGTTTTTTATGGCCTGGACCCCACTTAATGAGGATGAGGGTTTTTTGGTGTCTATTTATTTGATCGCTGTGCAGGGCTGTTACTATCCCCATTAATTCGGCTGTGAAAATTGATTGATTATTTGGGAGTCTATATGATTGTGTTTCTTTTGGGGGTTTGTTGACATGGATGCCAAATCCTGTGCATTTTGAGCTCGGGTCAAAGGACCCGTCTGTGTAAATGTGACACCAATTTCGGCCATTTTTCGTGAATGTATGCTGGTGTGATGGATTTAGCGGTATTTGGATCAGTTTCTTTACTTAGTCTGGTGGAGAGAGATATGTCGATTTTGGGGGTTTGGAGTTTTGGTGTGAAGGTGTTATTTGGGGCTGTGTTTAACTGTAAATTATTTAGGTTGTGTGTATTTAGGTAATTTATTATGCGTTGCGAGATTGGTGTTAATTGAGGGTTTTTGCGAGCTAGAGCTTGGAGTCTGGGGCTTACGTTAGTTTTAAGGATCTGTTGGGTTTGTTGGTTTTGTTGGGTTAAGGACCAGTAATTTATTGTTAAATGTTCTCGGCGTAGATCCAGGGGTATTTTGCCTGTTAGTGCCTGTAGCGATATGATCTAATTAGTGATTTGTAAAGTGACAGTAGGGTCTCCTGTCAGGCAGCGTAGTGTGTTCAGGTCTTTAGTGCATCTATTTGTTAGGGTTTTAATGTGAGCACCCCAGGTGAGGTGTTCATCAAAGATTACTCCAAAGAATTTGGTTTCTTTTTGGAATTGTATGGGTTTTTATTTAGTTGTAGTTTGGGGGTGTTTGCACGCATATTTCTGTGTTTGAATACTATCCCTGTGGTTTTTTCGGCATTTAGTGAGAAACCCATTTATTTGCCCATATTTGAATTTTATTTAATACATTCTGCAGTAATTTTTTAGCCATATTTATGCTTCTGGTGGGGACCCAGAGGGCTCAATCATCCGCATATTTGGAAGTTTGAATTTTATTAGGTATTCCCTCGAATAGGTCATTGATCATAATGTTGAAAAGTGTTGGGCTTAGAATGCTACCTTGGGGTGTGCCTTTTTCTAAGGGACACTGGTCCGATTGAGTTTGGTCGATAACCACGGTTATTTTGCGATTAGTTAGGAAGTCTTGGATATAGTTTAATATTTGGCCTTTATGTCCTGCTTTTATTAGTTTTTGTATTAGCCCGTTATGCCAAACCATATCGAGAGCTTTAGAGAAGTCTAGAAATATGCCTACTGTGTATTGTCGGTTTAGTTGGCCCGTTTTGATGTCTTGTTCTAATCGGGCGAGGTTGTCTTAGGTTGATAGGCCTGGGGTGAATCCACTTTGATGCTGGTTTATTATACTGTTTTGGTCTAGATAGTGTTGGAGTCTATTTTTGACCATTGCCTCCATGATTTTACATAAGTTTGAGGTTAGGGAATTGGTCTGTAGGAGTTTGCTTTGTTTGCTGGTTTGTTTGGCTGTGGTATTGGGATGACCTATGCCTCTTTCAATGAAGTAGGAACCTGACCGTTTTGGTAGATTTTGGGGTAGCTGTTTAATTATTTGGTATGAGGTAAGGTCTAGTCCTTGGGCTGATCCTTTTTTTCGATAATTTAGTACATGGAGTAGTTCCTCTAGTGTATATTGCTGGTTAATTTCTAGGTTATCATCTTTGAGTAATTTGAAGAATTTATTTTGATTTTTTAATTGTTTTTGAAATTCCTCAGGGAAGTTAATATTACTACTAATGGCTGAGAAGTGGTCTGCGAGGTTATTTGCTTTTTGTTTAGGGTTTGTCAAGTTATTTATGTTTGGTGTTTTTTTGGTTCGCTTAATGCCTCGGATGTTTTCCAGTTTTTGGCTTTTGCCGTTTTGACTAAGCTTTGTACTTCATGGTTTAATTGATGTGCTATCTTTAGATATGTGTAGTCTCATTTAGCTTTATTGAATTCCTAGTTTTTTTAATTTCCTCGGTCCACCAGGGTACTGTGGTTTTGCCTATTATTGGTGTTGTGAAGGGGATAGTTGTTTTTGCTATGTTGATTATGCATTCTGTTAAGTTAAGTTTATTTTCGAGATCCGCTGGGTTGATCTGTTTGCATAGCGCTTTGAATTTGTCCCAGTCTGCCTTGTTGTCATTGAATTTTGGTTCTTGAGGTTCATTTGGGATTTGGATACTTATGTTTCCTATGGTTATGTGGATTTGAAAGTGGTCGCTTCCAGTGGCTCCTCATGCACTTCCCACAAAGTGCTTTGGGCGAGATCAGGGGTACAGATTGTTAGGTCTATAGCTGACATATTTTGATTAATTTTATCATATCTAGTTGGTTGGTTGTTATTTAGTAGTATTAGTTTTATTTGTTCTATCCATTGGGCGATGAGTTTGCCGTTTTGGTCTGTTTTATCTTTAACACCCCAAGAGGGGTGGTGGGCGTTGAAGTCCCCTAAAAAGATGGTGGATTTATGGCTTAGCTGATTTAGGGTTTCTAAGCCTTCAGGTTTAATTTGTTTCACTGTCCAGTTGTATATGTTTACAATGTTTATTTTTTGGTTGTGATGAGTTATTTGTATACCATTAGCTTCTAGATTTGGGGTTTTAATTGTTTTTTTTTCTCCTCTCAAGCATCAGTGGATTTATATCTAAGGAAAATACAGGAGAATCCTCACCTTAATCCAATCACACACCAAATAGCACCACTTATTAGCGCTGAGTATAGTACTTCCGCTTAAACAATACATGTGTGCTGGCTCATGTCAGCCTTTGACGCAGTCGCAAAGAACAAATAACACCATGTTGCGTGGGTGGCGTCTGTCTGGACTTGCAGGTGTGATCAGTGATGACGTAAGTGAGTAGAACTCTTAGACCCCAGCAGTGACAAATCACAGGATGTAATTAGTGTTTGAAGGACATTGTTTATATACTTGTTACAAGTGCAGCTCAATAAACAGTGATGTGGAATACATAGTTGTTTGTTTTCAGCGTATGTCTAAGTTGGTCTTTCGGCTACCCAAAATGTCTTATTGTTGATATAAATACGATGTTTAATAATGCAAGCATTTTTTGCATTTAATTCATGCTCGTGTTAATTTCAAGATTTATGGTATATCGATTTTATCAAGTAACCTTAATTGCATCATAATTTGTGTCACAAATAACAAAAATCAAATACAGTTTCCTCTGTTTGAAGACAAAGTATCTCTGATAATTAGCATAATGTCATCACATTGCTTTTGGACCATGCAGGGAAATGTTTCCCTCATAGGCAAAAAATTCAAGGATAATCCTTGTCAGTACCGAAATTAACAAAGTTCGAAGTTGTTAAAATTCCACACAAAGCCTCTGATATATCTTTGATTGAAAATGGCGTGATTCATTCATGTGATAATTCATTTAGTAAGTTTATATGGCCTCTAATGTATTGTATCATTTGTAAAAAGATGATCTGTTGCAGAGATTTGTGTTAGCATTACCATTTTTACTGAAAATATAAACATTGTATGCTTTAAAGTAAACAGGATTTTAGTCTCAAGTTCACATGCCATGCCATGCTCAATTTTGACTTGTAGTGGGACGATACAAGTATCGATCAGAATTGCACACTAAGTAAAAAGTATCGATTCTTAGGTGTCCTCCCATTAGTTAGACGTCCCAATAGTTAGACAGCTTATAACAACACTTTAAACGGTTGAGTGCACACTAATCCTTATGCTTGTTACCTCAGACTTTAAAATGGAATAGTCCAGATAAGATCTGACAAACAAAGCAAAGCAGCTTTAAATAGATAGTTTAATATTATACTTCACATTTAATGACACTTTACATTTGATAAATTTTATACAGTTTGTAACAACACTTTGACAGTTTTTGAAAATGTAAACTTTACATTTAATAACTTTTACAGTTTTAAAGAAGGAAGTGTCCACAAGCATCTAAATACTCAATAGCAGACTTGTCACCCTGCTGCAGCTGATCTTTGAGGCGTACCAGGCGGTTCTCTGTCTCTCTGTAGATTCTCTTGCGGCAGCGTGGTGCCGCACCAAAGTTCAATTGCATCACCTTAGTCCTTTCATTGAACTCGACTTTCTGGATGACTTCAATGAATCTGTAGATGTTAGGGTGAACATGTGGCAGTAGGTAGTTCAGTCGGCTGTGGAATCCCTCAAGGTTGTTGTTGGTTCTGGGTCCATCAGTTTCGAAATGGTTCCACATGCACATTGAGAATCTGGCGTCATCATCTACCCAGGTTCTCACAATATAGTCGCTAAAGTCCACAGCTCTAGGCACATCTGGTGTCGACTGCATAGCTTGAACCCACGCATCCTGAACAAAGGGAATGGGCAGCAGAGCTAGCCCAGCTGCTCGTCGAATCCACTGGGTCACACGGGGGTCCTCCTTATACATGACTGCAAGTCCAAGATTTTGAGTCTTTCTCCAAATAGCCTGGGTGAAATGAAAAAACCATCCCTTGATCACTGCTTGCGGAAACTCTGTCTCGATCGCGCTGACAACGGCCTGTTCAAAGTCGATCGATGCTAGGTGACATTAGTCTGTTGAGTCGCTCTGTCTTCAGTTGTCGAAAAAGCCGGCCATAGGTTGTTGCTTGACGATCTGGCAAAAGGGCGAACACTAGAGGGAAGGTGTTTTGACCAACTCTGGCATGAATGACGTATACTTGATCCCATAAACCTGGACATGCTGTGAAGGTACCATCCATGTAAAGGGTGTCAGCTTCCTGGAGGGCTTGTATCTGTTCTGCAGTGGAGAACGCCAAGATCTTGTCATCGTCGCCGTCGCTGAACAGTAGAAAGGGACGTCCATCTGTTGTCTCGGACCATTTGTCTTCAATGTCTACTGCTGACCGCGACCTGGGTAACGCTGGAATGGTCTTGCGACGATGCCTGAAAAAGAGCAAAGAAACAGTTACACATGTTACATGAAATATTGATAATGATTTCATTCACTTGAAATGGTTAACAGCGAAACAAGTTAGGTGGGACCTAAAAAAAAGGTTAATTCTAACCAAGTCAAAAATACGGGATGATATTTACCTGTAAAGTGCACTTTTCACGCTCTGAAATGATGGCATCGCTGGGATGCTGGCTTCATCTACTTGAGTGACTTGCTCCTCGTACAATGCCTGCATCTGTGTGGTTTCTTCTCGCGCTCTTTTACGAAGATTGCTGACAAAGGTCACTCTGGTTTCATCTTTAGGTGGATGGTTATGTTCCGACTGATTGCGAAGAAAGTCACCGACAGTCGTACATTTCCCATTGCATGTCTTGACGACACAGCTCCAATGTGTGCAGGTTTGCCTCTCACGGTTTCTGTTGTAAATATATCCATCTGATATCAACTGCTTACTTCCACGCCGAGAGGTGATGTACTCTACTTTCCTTAAACCAGCCATCATCGATACTGATAATGATACGTACCCAAAGATCATTTTTATTTGTTTGATGATTAGATAATCTCAACTCAACTCCTTCAACTGATCATACAGTAAGACAATTAAGCTACTCCATAGTTTACATAGTTAATCTCATGCCTATTGAACCTGTGCTGAGAGTAAGGTAGTTTAGATTAATTAAACGAAATTGTAACATATATACTCCCTAAACTGTGAGTCCCCTATCCCTACTCAGTACTTTAATCTAATAAGGACTGATCCATTACACCTGTAGGTATAATCCCTCTTAGCCTAGGTAAAATTGTCTAACAATTGGGACGTCTAACTAATGGGACGTCTAACTAATGGGATATAACCGATTCTTACCTTAAATGCATTCTTTAATATACATTACATTAAACACTAATTACTAGTGAAAATGAGAAGTGAAAATCCATTGTGCCATACTTGACACTGCCAAGTGTAAATCAGCTGTATTTGGCCATCCTGTATGTGAAAAAGATGGCTTACGCTCCACAGATAAAAGCACATGCAAGAATCATGATATGTATCAGGTCGTGAGCAAGGTATCAAGATACGTATCGGATCACACAGCCCAAAGTTTGACCCAGCCTATCTCTGATAGCCCTTGCTGTCAGTCCTGTCTGTCACAGGCAGATGAAATCTTCTAAGCAAAGAAGTAGCTAACCATGATAAGCTAAGCATGAGTTTTTTCATTAATGGATCTTCTTTTTTTTAAGTCGCGATTCACAGTTTGCTCAGCGCACAATTTCGATGTTTGCATGTTTGTTGGGAGCATGATACTCACAAATGTGTTTTTTGAAAGTGAACAGCACATAATGATTGTTTAGATATCAGGAGCTCATAAATACACTTTTGTTTAACTATGAATATCTCTTCACAATGCCACGGCTTGCTGGGTTATCGACAGTTTCTAATGGATTTTACTGTTTTACTGACCTGTCAGGGAGAGGTATTTTCCTGCAGAATTCCAACAACATTGACTTGGCTTTCATGCTCCATTCATCCTCCACAGAGTTACCCTTTATAAGGAATAAACAGAAATAATAGTTATCACTGTTAATAATTCAAAGAATATTACCTCCATTACAATAATGCCTATTGCAAATTTGATTTGTCATCACACAAAAATCTTCAGATTTTCAAAAGAAGTCCTCTTCAATGTCAACTATCCATAATTAGTTGTGCAAGAAATAGTATCTTGCTTCCCTTGCAAGTGCAAGGCGAGGACACCTCATTTCTCTCCAAAATCAAAATTCTAGATGCAGATAGTTGGGAAGACGGGTGGGGTTACTACTGTTGGAGGTTGAGTATTCACAAGAATTATCAAACAATAGTTATACTCAACCTCCATTACATCATTGCAAGAATATACCAGAGGGACTGATGGGTTCTGACATCGGGTAACCTTTAGGATACCTGACAGACTTTGAAATCTTTTGAGAAAATAAAAACTAATCATTAGGGCTGGTAAAAAAAATTGATAATCGGAATTACTAAGAAATATTAACAATTATCGATATGAAATTTTTGTCATTGACAATAACTTACATTAGACTATTGTGATAAACTTAAGTTTATTTTTACCGAAACTGGCCTGTTATTGTCAATCATGTCAATTGACGAGGACAGAAAGCTGTGTTTGTTTTATCTCAAATGTCCACAAAGTAATCCAAGCACCACTGTTCCACTGCTGACCAGTGGCATGATATATGTTTATTTCTTTCGGGGACTTTCTTTCTTGCTTTAAGATACTTATCAAATTCAATTTTTTTTCACAAAATAATTAAGCAACCATAAAGAAAAAATAAACCCTCCAGGTTGCCTTACCTTTCGGACATACCTTTCTCGACCACATCACTATATGGCCTGGCGGGCCCGTGTGCAAAATATGCATACCGTATTTGACGTAATAATCGCCCCACTCTAATAAGCGCCCACAGCGATATTTGCTAATATATTGGCAAGTGAACAATCCTAATTAGCACCCCTTCCGATTAATCAATGTACACAAGACTTATTTCGTTGAGTAGTATAGGTAATAGGGGTTCTGGACCACTTCCACTGGAGCTGGATTTATATACCTATACTGCTACTACAGATGGAATTTTTTATGCCAAAATGATTATGCGATTCAACGATAGTCATGAGATTCAGCTAAATTGACTCCAGCTCACCACCACCTGGAGTCTATGATATAATTTTTTATAGGTAATGATGGTTCTGGCTCACTTCCACTGGAGCCAGCTCACCAATACCTGGGGCCAATCATTGCTTTAGATGAGTCTAAATGGTAATAAAAATATTCTTTATTATTTTTATCGATAAAGCGATATTCAACATATTTATTAAGTTCTTCGTTCATTTTACTAGGAGACCAGACTATATAACTACACTCTTTTTGTAAATTGATAAGAAACAATTGATAACCGTATTTGGTTGGTTTGACATCACTGATATAATAAAAACCTTGTGGTAATTCTTTCCATTGAATAGCTTTCTCCATTATTATATATTTATGTTAGCATTTGTCTAAATGTAATCACACGATAGTAAGCAATCTATTTTTAATCTCCAACCAGTTCTTTGGTTTTGGCACGGAATAATTGACGCGCTTGTTGCCTCCCCTCTTCTATGAACTTTTTTTTCTCGTCTTCGCTAATACCACTGGTCTTACGAGATTTTGATCGAATCTCCTGCTTCATTTTATTGTATTTGTTGAGCTCCGACAGCACTAAACGAAACTCATCCTCGGATATCTTACAATCGGCCATTGCTGTCGAAATATGATCCTCAATGCTGTTCAACTTTGCTTCGGCGAGTATCCGAATACTATCGTGTTTTAATGCTTTCTTTTGTAACCTACGAGAAATGAATATCGCTATTCCTGCCAGTCCCGAGACTCCAGCGGTTATTTCCATGCTGAGCACGATAGGCGCGGCGATTATAGTTGATAGTAAACCGATACCCGCTACACCGAGTCCCATGCCAGATACTAAAAGCACGGTGTCAACTCCGTCCAGAGCATTCACGGCTCTGCGATACTTTTTATACAATCCAAGTCTCAACTCCCTCTCCTTCCCTATTCGATGTTTTATGTCGCTTATTTGATGTAATCGAAATCCATCAACAGTTTCCATCTTTTCAAATGCTTCACCGAGCGTCGGATATAAACTCATAGTGTATATTACGATCATATAATAGTCTTTAATTGGTCTTGCTTAAATGTTTTGAGACTATACATCAATCTTATCAAATGTATATTATACGGCAAGAATATCTTAGAAAGAGAAATACTGTCACTTTTAATAATTTGGACCCCCTCAAGGGTTGCAACGGGCGATGCTCCGATATGAATAATACTGCAACATTGACGTTGGTATTTCTTTTGCCATTTAACCGATAGACCTGGTAATATATCGAAGGCATCTTCCGGTGCATCTCCGAACAAGACTTCAATAATAAGCGTAGAAAGATTAGGTATTGCACTCAAGTTATCTTTAATATCTTCGAATTCAGTAACCAAATTTAAAGTAACATTTTTTAAGGCCGGACGACTATATAACATATGACCTGGGTTTTCTGGCAGGGGGGTGACTAACACACTTTTTCGTTTTGACGGGATATAAGCCGCGAGTACGATGCCACTATTTATTATCTTAGTTAAATTATGTCCCTTACCCATCATCACATAAGGTGGGGTAATGACGATATTCAGTAGCCACTCGATGTTTGCTTCAACCATAGTCCATTTATTATCGTCGTTGCGAGTAATATTGTACGAAGTGTTTTTAAGGAGTCAATTAACATCAACATCGCTTAAATCTCCTAGATTACCCGTGAATGTGACTTCTTTCCGATTGTATACATTATCGTGTAAGTGTAAAGCGTATAACTTACCATCGGTGCCGGGTTTACCGAATCCTTCCGTGTCTCCGAGATCGGAAAGCGCAATTGTATTACATTGTCTTACTGTTCCAGGGCCTGATGCATCAACCATTATTTTTAATATGGAGTGTTACACTTAAGTATCCTATATGTACTGGTTGGTGTTTTACATCTAATACAGAAATTTTGAGGTCTGAAATAATTCCCCGCTTTAATTTTTTATATTGTAATGACGAGAAAGATTCCGTTCTACCGCTATTATATTTTTCATTTTTCACTGGAACACTTCTGAGCAGAGTTGAAGGACTTTCTTGTTGAATATTATCCGTCGTGCTGATTTGATCAAGATGGATGCACAACTCTTTATAGGGAACTAAATCGGGTAATTTAATTCCCTGTCGTGGTTTGTTAGAATTTATAATTCCTATTCTATGATGAAATCCAAGTGTAACTTCTAAGTATGGGATAAGAACTACAGCGTTTTCTCCAGAGTCGATTTTCACTGTCCCATTCGACTCATTTTGTGTTAGACTAGCTCCATTAGGCTTAAAAATTTCATCATTGAGTGAGCATACGCTGTAATACCCATCAGGTATAGTAATGAATTTATCAATACCATTGTTTTCACCTATTATATGAATCTCATTATTATCTCTCGCAGCACTTATATTGGTCCACAGTGGGTAATACGTTACATCGCATAGAGCTACTTCGAGTTGTCCATCCGAGTTATCGATAGTATGAAGCAGTTCAATAGACTGACCATTTGTTATTCCCGGGAGTGTAACATACATATTAAATATACAATGATACTATATCATAACTTAAATATGAAATCGACTCACATTACTAATCAATCGATTATAGTAACTGCCTCCGGTGCTGAGTTTACCGTTAAATTCCACGATATCTTTGAAAAATACAGTTTCACGGCAACTAACGATAAAATGATTGACGATTGGTTTAACCGTCCGATGCAATTTTGGCAGAATCAGTTAAACTTTGCCGTATGGTGTGCCACAACGGGATGTGGTGTATCTGTTAATGCCCCAGGATTTAAACTATATAAGTCTGTTATATTATTTCACGTGTACTATCAGATTAGACGTATACTTAAAGAAATTAGTGCTCCATTACCGATGGATCCAGCATGGAATCATGCAAATAATCATTATAATAAGAGGGCCTTCGAACGTATTTGTAATGAATTTAATGTTTCTACGAGTAAAGATTGGCGCATTAGTGGACCTAGCCATGGTCTAGGTATTCCGTAAAATGGACAAAGAACTATTAAAGATAAAAGCGATTATTTAATTAAAGCGGGTGTGATCCCTTCAGGCTTTGCTCTCTCGGATAAACAGTTTAGAGCAGATCGTATGAACTTTGAGAGTGGCATTCCTTATCTTATAACAAAGTTTGTGCATCCAAACGATACAACAGATGCTTGGAATGAATTTCTTAATGATAAAACGGAAAATAATTTTACTAACCCAGGATTTGAAAGAGTTAATGAATCGATAAGAACTTATGTAAGGGCAATTCTCGGAGCACAATCGCAAACACGAACGGGAATCATCGGTACTGGGACGGCGTTTGATGCGCAAAAACAGTTTGTCTCAAACGTGGAGGACGCCATTAATTCACCAGTTGACATACCATCGTCTATAAAGCGTTTTCAAGATGCATTACAGTACGCTCAATCAAAAGTGGACTTCGTTTATGCGCCGGGACTATACATGTCTCCGAGTAATATGGAACTTAAGATCGGTCAAGTGATAGGCTATAATAATAAAATTGTTATCGCTACCGATAAACAAAAACCAGGTATAAATTCAGATATTAATGTCGAATTAATAACGCAAACGATCAAGGGCGAAAAGGGAATAGTCAAGCCGCAAACACCACAACCATCTACTAATGCTCAAACACAAGTACCACCACATATTGCGGCTAAAAATCAACAACATATCGATGAAAAAACAGTGCTTGTAGTGGGTGGAGTCTCGGTTGGTTTACTCATGATTTGGTGGTTAAATAGTTCTTAGGGAATACGTACAACAGCCCTGCAATTGCTACGATCAGCCCCCACAAGTTTTGACTAAGCCAAGTGGTGGTCTTAGCTAATAAATTCAAT